TTGCTCCAATCCAATCCAGAAAACCCTGCAACATCAGAACCAAACAGCCAACCCAATGACCCAGTCCAACCTTCTTCTGCCCTTGATAACCAAACCCTTCCAACCCAAGACACTTTGCGCCGAAGTGAAAGAGAACGTCGTCCTCCTTCGCGACTGCGTGACTTTGTCACTCACACCATTCAACGTCCCTCTCCTGATTCACTCAAACCAACAACACCTTCAGGTACAGCACACTGTATTACAAATTTTATTAACGCTGACAAATTTTCTGTTTCCCATAGATGTTTTTTGGCAGCTATAAGTGCAGATGTTGAGCCTACATTCTTTTCTGAGGCGGTCAAAAATCCGCTATGGGTACAAGCTATGAAGGAAGAAATTCAGGCGTTGGAAGCTAATGGTACTTGGTCACTCGTCCCCTTGCCTCCAGGAAGGAAAACAATCGGATCTAAGTGGGTCTACAAAATCAAGCACAAGTCTGATGGTAGCATTGAACGCTACAAAGCTCGTTTGGTAGTGCTTGGCAATCGTCAGAAAGAGGGAATTTAAAGAAACTTTTGCACCAACAGCTAAATTGGTTACCGTTCGCACTCTCTTAGCTGTTGCCGCTGCCCGGAACTGGTTCATACATCAGATGGACGTTCATAATGCATTTCTTCATGGAGACCTTCGCGATGAAATATACATGACTCTTCCCCCCGGGTTTGCCTCTCGCGGTAAAGGATTGGTTTGTCGTCTTCATAAATCTCTCTATGGTCTTCGACAGGCTCCACGTTGTTGGTTTGCTAAACTCACCTCTGCATTAAAACACTTTGGGTTCCATCAATCCAAGGCTGATTATTCTCTGTTTACACTTTTGCGCGGCACCATCGAGCTCCGTGTGCTGGTGTATGTGGATGATCTTGTGATCGCAGGAAATGATGAAGGCTTCATTGGCAAATTTAAACGGTATCTATCTGATTGCTTCCATATGAAGGACCTTGGTCTCTTAAAATATTTTTTGGGCGTTGAGGTTGCCCGAAATTCGAAAGGGATTTTCATATGCCAGCGCAAATA